TAAATATCTGAAGACATTCACCTCCTCCATACTCTCTCCCTCCAATCTGATATCCAATTTTTCGTCACCTAATCTTTTTATCTTCATCCCCTTACTCTTTCCTATATTCACTTTTAATTTTCTTCTTTTACATACCCTAACAAACTCATCCACGAACTTCTACAACTTCTCTTCAGAATCTCCTTAAAGTACAGTGTCATCAGCAAAAACCAACTATGAAAACTCTCACTTTGTGTTAGATTCTTTATCTTTTAACCCCACACCTCCTCCCAACACCCGAGCATTCACTTCTCTTACATATCCATCTATAAATATATTGAACAACCACGGTGACATCACACATCCTTGTCTAAGGCCTGCCTTTACTGGGAAATAATCTCCCTCTCTCCTACATACTCTAACCTGAGCCTCATTATCCTCGTAAAAACTGTTCACTGCTTTCAGTAACCTACCTCCTATTCCATACATCTGCAATATCTGCCACATTGTCCCCCTATCCACCCTGTCATACGCCTTTTCCAAATCCATAAATGCCACAAAACTTCTTTACCTATATGTTTCACTGCAAACACTTGGTCTACACACTCCCTACCCTTCCTAAAGCCTCCTTGTTCATCTATTATCCTACTCTGTCTTACCCTTAATTCTCTCAATAAATCTACCATGCACTTTACCAGGTACTCTCAACAGACTTATTCCCTTGTAATATATATATATATATATAATATATATATATATATATATATATATATATATATAATATATATATATATATATTATATATATATATATTGAATGTATGCTTTATTAATAAACAAGATACATTGACAAAATGCATTGACAAAAATTCAATATGGAATAACTCGACTCACGAAATCGTAATGACACGATTGCAAAAAAACCATACCACTGGTGGGGTTTGAACCCACGGTCAGAGAGTCTCAAAACTCCAGACCGTCGCGTTAGCCACTGGGCCAGCTAGCTTCGAAGATGGCTTGCCCAGTGGCTAACGTGACGGTCTGGAGTTTTGAGGCTCTCTGACCGCGGGTTCAAACCCCACCCGTGGTATGGTTTGTTCTAATACGGAATAAAACAACATAGATAACAACTCAGAGCTACATCTCGAATATTTCGTCCAGCTCCCCGGCAGTGGGCAGCGTGTCAAGAATGCTGCAGGCATTTCCTCTCTGGATCGCGTCACTGAATCTCTGAAAGAGGAAGCTGGTCGCCCTGTGGCCCTTGGTTTCTATGACGAATTTTTAACCCAGCTCTTTGAGGAACTTTAGGGCACACTTGCCCCATGCTCCAAGGGTCTTCTACCATATATATATATATTATATATATATATATTTGGGGTGAGATTTGCTTCTTATCTTGGAAGTCTACAAGAAATCTTCCTGAATAATTTGATATCTACAGCATATGTTGTCTTAATTATTTTTATTATTATTATTTTCTTCATAAGAAATCGCTAAACCCGCAGAGGGAAGATAATCAGATTTCATCCGAGAAAGGGAACAGTTGTAGTTCCCTACATCAAAACCCCTTCACCGTCATTAAGGGACCTTCTTGAAGGGACTGTGGTCTGGATTACCTGAAACAGGCTTTGAAGGGTATTGTATAACCTTAACAAGCTGTTGAAGGGCTCTAGATGCAAGGAAGTTGAGCAACCCATACAAGTTTGGCTCTTCCTGATGCTGAACATTATAATAAACATCCACCACCAGCTCCAATGGTTTACATTCATAATGTCTTTTATAATTGAAATCCATTTGCTTCAAACAACATATGAACTATTTCGAGTTACCATAAATGTTTGTAAAGTGACAGTTGTATTAATATGGGATACGAAAAACATGTTATAAATTAACACTTCAATTCGTAAAATATATTTTGGCCATCATTGTATCACATACATTTTATGGAATTAGTAAACTAAAATTTGTTTTAGTAGAGGGTCGGTGCAATATATATATGTATATATATTATATATATATATATATATATATATATATATATATATATATATATATATATATATATATATATATATAATGATGTAGTTGTGTGTTATATACTCTATTTGGTAAATACTAAGAATAATTAGGCTTTACATAAATAAGAGTTAGCAATATTATAATACATTTTAGTAAGGTGATGTTAGTTTGCTAAGTTAGTGCTAAAGCAAAATTCACTACGGAACCATGTATATTCATGGAAAAACACATTTATCAATGCACTTGAAAAACTTATTCAAAATATTAAGTTCGTCCTGTTTGTCCAGTTATATTTATTAGGCATAACTTGTTCATTACATCTTACAAAATAAAAAATCAAATTTTTAAAGTGAATGTCTGGCTTTTCCCCCTGAAAATGATGTGTGATAGTTGATAATTAAACAAGAATAATTTAATAAGAAATTGCTTGAGCAGACTTTTACATGCAGCTGTTGTTTTGATGTTGACATTTTGCTTCTCTGCGTTGTTATCTTCTTATACGATTTTATAGACTGAATAAATGATGGCTGGGTAGATTATGTATGCATTTAAAACACATAAGTTATATTTTTTTTTTATATTTCCTTTGCTCTCAAACTCGTTCATGATTTTTTTGCAAGAACAAGTTCGTTATATGTGTAGCATCTACGACAGAATACACAAGTTTACTCCATCAGAAGTATTTTCATCATTTTCACCGATTTAGGATTCTTCCATTGATAAGATAATCTTTAGAAGCTTCAGCTTTCACTTATAAGTTATATGAAAGTAATTAATAAGCTATATTTTCTTATCTTAAATATCGAACTATCTTAAACCATTGTATTTTATTTGTATTTTGATCAAAAATTGAAATTGCCTGCTTAGTATCATCATTTATCATCTTCCATAACCAGATGTGAGAACTTTGATAGTAATTGGTTTGATTAAGGTTAATTTGATTAAGTTTAATTTGACTAAACATGAGCTGAGCTGCTTGTATTTACAAAGACGAAACCTTTGCATTGCATACTTTATAATGTGCTCGCGAACTTAACATTACGTCCCATTGCCTGCTGCATAATGTAGTGAATACACACATATATTTATGTATTAAAATACAAACGAAATCGATAGGCAATTTCGGATTTAATTTTTCTGTCGGTTTTCTCTCATCTCGTCATTAGTCAATTATGTTTTGTGATTAACAGTCTCCCCTCTCTCTCTCTCTCTCCCTCTCTCTCGTCACCACACACACACACACACACACACACACACACACACACACACACACACACACACACAACACACACACACACATATATATATATATATATATATATATATATATATATATATATATATATATATATATATATATATATATATTTGTGTGTGTGTGTGTGGTATTATAATATGGTGGTCAATCCCACAGCCTGGGAAGGGGTAGAAAAGTGATTGTAAATATTATTGGGGAATAAGTTTACTGAGTATACCAGGTAAAGTGTATGGTAGGGTTATTACTGAAAGAATTAGAGGTAAGACAGTGAGTAGGAATGCAGATGAGCAAAAAGGCTTTAAAATGGGTAGGAGATGTGTAGATCAGGTGTTTATACTGAAGTATATATGTGAATAGTATTTAGATAAAGGTAGGGAAATTTTCATTGCATTTATGGATTTAGAAAATGCATATGATAGAGTGGATAGGGGAGCAATGTGGCAAATGTTGCAAATATATGGAATAGGTTAAGTTACTAAATGCTGTAAAGAGTTTTTGTGAGGATAGTGAGGCTCAGGTTAGGGTGTGTAGAAGAGATATTCAGATATTCAGATATTTGGGAGCTGACTTGTCAGCGGATCAGTTTATGTAGGATGAGGTTAACCATAGAACTGAGAAAGGTAAAAGAGAAAAAAGGTGAGCGGTGCGTTGATGAATCTGTGGAAACAAAGAACGTTATCAGTGGAGGCAAAGAAGGGAATGTACGAAAGTATGGGTTATAAATGCTGCAACGAGGAGGCAGCTGGAGGCAGCTGGAGACAGTGGAAGATGTCCTGTCTAAGGGCAATGTGTGGTGTAAGTATTATGCAGAGAATTCGTAGTGTGGAAGTTAGAACGTGTGGAGTTAATAAAAGTATTAGTCAGAGGGCTGAAGAGGGCTTGTTGAGGTGGTTTGGTCATTTAGAGAGAATGGAACAAAGTAGAATGACTTGAAGAGCGTATAAATCTGCAGGGGAAGGAAGGTGGGGTAGGGGTCTTCCCAGAAAAGGCTGGAGGGAGGGGGTAAAGGTGGTTTTGTGGACGAGGGGCTTTGACTTCCAGCAAGCATGCGTGAGCGTGTTAGGGGTGCATAGAGACGAATGGTTTCTGGGACCTGACGAGCTGTTGGAGTGTAGCAGTGATTATGAATGATTGATGGTGAAAGTGTTAAATAATTATGAAAGATGATTGATGGTGATAGAGTTGAATTATGATGAAAGTTTTTTCTTTTTCTTATCTTTTCTCTGTGATATAATCTTCACAATTTAGTGTTATTAATTCCTTATTAAAGTATATAAACTGAGAGAGGTATGTCTCATGGCGTATAAATACTGAGAATTTGCATGAATATTTTTGACCGGTAGCGAACAGGTGAAATGCAGACTTAACGAACCTCGTGTAGTTAATAGGCTTTAAGTCTAACAAACCTACCAGACACAGGTTGAAAAATTATCAGAGGGAATTTCATATACTTGTATGTCAGAATGCATACTCTGATCCAGACGGAATAATAAAGTAAAATATCTTGATATGCTTCATTACTAATAATTCAGTTTCACAAAAATATTGGCTAAACAAGCATAAAACTGTTGTGAAATATAATCCCTGTGTGGATTCTTCGTTTGTGATACAAACTGAAGTTCTTTTTATGATTGGAATAAAGCATCCCCCCCCTCCACACACACACACACACAAACATACACACACACACACACACTACACACACACACACACACACACACACACACACACACACACACACACACTAGGTGAGTACACACACACACACACACACACACACACACACACACACACACACACACACACACACTCGCGCACGCGGATTCCACATGAAACAGCAGCTCCGAACCACCAGCTAAAAATCTTGTGAATATAACAGTGGTATACAATGCCGATATGTAGATTACTAAGGCACATCTGCAAAATTATGTATCTTTATTCCGAAACGTTTTGCCTACACAGCAAGCTTCTTCAGTCGAATATAAAGACGACAGCAGAAGCAGTGGAGGTGTAAAGTTGATGTAATCAGTCCTCCAGTGGATGTGTAAAGTTGATGTAATCAGTCCTCCCTCGACGAAGTAGTTTTGAGGTAGCCAGTCCCTCAGCCTAGAGAGGAGTTCAGCTTAACTCTTCTCCAGGCTGAAGGATCCACCATTTGAAGACTACTTCGTCGAGCGTAATTACACCATCTTTACTCCTCCACTGTTTTTGCTGTTTTCTCTGTATTCGACATAAGAATAGTGTGTAGGCGGAACGTTTTGGAATAAGGATACCTAATTTTTGCCCATACGTCTTACTTAACTAAAATCTTTGAGTCAATAGATATAAGATAAATGCCACAGATCTGGAAAACATCAAATACTCTCCCAACATTAAAGAAAATAAGCACAGAAATCAATAAACTAAAGACTAGTATCACTGAAATTCGTTCTGCGTAAGCTAATGAAAATTTTAATCAGAAGGAGAGTGGCGGAGCATTAGGAGAGAGTGATCTCACAAACAATAACCGGTATGGATTTAATGATGCCAAATCTTATCTCGCAATCCTGCTGAAGTTCTGTGACAGAGTAATAGAGTGAAGCATGAGAGGGAGGGATTAGTGGAGTGCATATTCTTCGATTACAAGAAGGTATATGATGCTGTACCTCATGAGAGACTAGGATAAAATCCGAGGAACAAATCGGAATAACAGGGTCCCTGAGGGGTAGGAAATAACAAGGTACCTAAGGGGAAGGAAACAAATAGCGATTATTAGAGATATCAGAATAGGAAAGAGTAAATAGATCGGTTCCGCAAGGATCAGTAGTAGGACCTGCTCAGTTTATGGTATATGTTTGCAGATGACAAAAATTAACTGGTATGCGAGAGCACAACTGGAATATAAAAACACGGAAGAGTCGCAAGGATGTCAAGAAGTATTTCTTCAGTTTTACTGTGGTCAGGAAGTGGAATGACCTTGAAGTAGCGGAATCATGCTCAGCTATTTCGTCGGTACGTTCATTACTAAGTCACAACTTGAAAAAAAAAAACCACTTACCATTAAGCGAAATGTCGTGTAATAAATGCTTTCTTTGTTATAACTGTAATAAATACCGACACGTATTACCGTACTTGTCGGTATTTTGCAAGTTGGCTTACTTATTTCATGGGAGTGGGAGGGGGGGGGGTTGAGGAGCGCTAAACCAGCAGGGATCACTCAGCGCCATACGGAATGAGAGACAATGTCAGACTCGATTCACGGAAAGGTAGCCACTATTCCATGGATCAAGAGCCCTTGACCTGCCTGCGTTAGTCTACAAGATAAAATTTATTGCCCAGGTTCCGCTGGGTTTTCTCAAGTTCCGCTGTAGCACATGAGAGGAATTAGGTCTAATTTAGCATCCCACGGTTAAATAATTTTTTCTCATCTGTCGGTAGTAGCATCTCTTTCTAAGAATTAATGGAAAGCGTCCCATACAGATCTAGGGGTAACTATACCATATCTGAAGAAGAAAAAGGCACAATACCGTGACTGGAACAATTCATAAATAACCCGAACGTAGAGAATTTAATGACGATGGTTTAGTGTGACTTGGACTATTTACAAGACACATTCAACTTCTCTCTCCTATAAAGAACAGAAAGGCACAATACCTTGCCACTACTACTTTTTCTTCCTCTCTTGGTCCCGTCCCAGTGCTCCCTCGGTTATATATACTGGCTGCCTTACTCTCTTATGTTAGTGTGACTTTGTAAAGGGTCTAAGTCGGCCAGAAACGTCGTCAAAAGCTTCTCTCTCCTATGTACCTGTTATTCGTGTATTATACCATATTTGTATTTACACGCAATAGAAAAAAACACTTTGGTTTACCGGGAATCATCTTTGGAAGATATGGATACTCTAAGGTTTATTTTATATTCCTTTTTGGCACAGAGGATTGAGCGAGCATCGACCTGAAATAACCATCTTCAAATCAGTGCCACTTGACTGTTTGCAATTAACACAAAATAACTTACAGAGTATGAACGTAAGACATTTTTGTTTCAGATAGGATTTGTTTTGCTATGAAAAAGTGTTGCTCTCTGCTACCAAAGACTTTTATTTCTGTGGGGGACTTTATCTCCACGCACAAAAACTGACACCCATTGGGGTTAGGCACTTACATTTTAATACTGATAATAATAATAATAATAAAAATAATAATAATACATAATTCACAATAATAATAATTTATAAATAAATCTTGAAGTCACAGAAGGTGAATACTCTATCACGTTAATTGAAACTAAACGCTCATTTTACTAATTACATTTAAAACGTGCGATTTGGTCATTTCTGTTTTGTACTTACAAAGATAATTTTCGTCTTTTTTTTTTATCATCAGAGATAGGTCAAAGAGCGTTCGCGAAAATATATGACTAGAAAAAGTATAAGGAGAGAGAATATGTGAAAGGTATAAGAATGCAAAAGTTTAAGATGCCAAAGAATAAGAGCCTAAAAGTATAAGGATGAATGAAGATGATAAACTGTAAGCATGCAAAAAAAAAAAAAAAAAAAATTTGATGAAAAACTATAAGGACGCAAATGCATAAGTAAGTAAACTGTCTAAATTGGTGACGTATAAACATTCGGTTATTTAACCATAACGTTTGCAATCCTTTAAAGAAAAAAAAAACGCAAGTTACTTATTCTATAAAGAGAATTACATTTACATTAACATAATGGAATATTCCTGTAGCAACGTTGCCTCCTCGGAATACAGTACGTAACACAGGTGCTTCCCAAATGCACCTCCTTTGACTCACTAAGGTATTCAAAAATGGGTTGTAAATGGTATGGTGATACCGACAGACTGTGGAAAAGGACACTTGTGTACAGTTCAGGACGTTTATTAATGAAAACGTTTTCGTTAATAAGTTTATCATTATAATTAAGTGCTAAACCCAAAAGAGGTCCTACGGCTTTCTTTGAAAAGTGTCCTGAACTGGACGCAAGTGTCCCCTTTCATATATACGAATTACTGAGTAGTGGCGTCACAATGACTGCCGATAACAGTGAAAAAAAAAAACCTTGCAGGACTTTTATTTTCCGGGGATAACGTTTTACTCTATGTAGAGCTTTCTCAAGATCTCATTTGCTAAAGCAGTACACAGAGCAAAACGTCTCAAATGAAAGTTTGATTTACGACGTGTCGGTGGTCACCAATAGCCTGACTTGCCGGAAACCCTTCCGCGACTAGGGAATGGAGGATCGAGTCTCCATCACTTCTTTGTGTTCAATAACTCACACGGCTTTAGGACTTCATGAAACACAGTATAATCAGCAACTTCACATTTCTTCTCAGTTATCGAGTATTTAAACGAATGAGGAAACGCACCACAAAGCGCAATGAGAAATGCATCCTGGTAATAAACTCTTAAAAAGGACTAATATCAACAAATGCAAGTATTTCAAACAGGTACTGCAAGTGGCTGTTAGAGCAGCTACAGTTGGTAACGTGTCCGTGATACGTCTAAAAGAACAGAGGACCGAGCCTCTATCGTGCCTCGGGACCAAATAACCCACATATTTATATCCCTTCAATCAAGTACCAGCCTAATTCGATACAAAAGTATCACTTCGTATGTAAAACATTCGGTAACGGAGCTGCGGGCACCTGCCCCCAGCTTGTTGTCTTTCATATAGAGAGGAAGCAAAGATTGTTGAGGATTTAAGACTCAGGGAGGCCATTAGAGTACTGCGGCCGTTCTTCTCTTCTTTTGTAGGTTCCTTGGGGTGTTGAGGTGGCGCTGGCTTCAGGTGCGAATAACCTAGTCTTCACTTCATCTTTGTACATTGTTTGGCCCACAGTAGGTGTCAGGTAGCCAGGGCTTCGTTCTCCCACTGGCGAGCGATATCCAGGAGTGAGGTGTTGTACAGGCAGTGTAGAGTAACCCCCTATTGACCCTCGAGGTGACTCCAGGTAGCTGAAGGGTTGCATTAAGAGCGGCGTGTGATAGCCAGCGGCCCGACCCCCAGGTAAAGTTGAGTAGTCAGCAGTTTGGCTTCCGTGTGGTGTGAGATAACCAGCATGTTGTCCTCTAGGGGAAGTAGGAGTGCCGAGACTTTGCCCCATAGGATAGCCAACAGCCCTGCCTCCGGGTAATGTCGAATAACCACTGCTATTTCGTCTTGGCGATGAAGGATACCCAACAACCCGTCTTCCATGTATTGTAGGATAACCAGCAGACAGTCCTCCAGGTGATGGAGGATAGCCAGGGGTTAATCTTCCAGGTAACGTAGAATATTCATTAGTAAGATCCCCAGGGGATGAAGGATAACCAGATATCATCCCACCAGGTGACTTACAGTAGCTACCTGGCTGTGCTCTGGGTGATGAAGAACAGGCACCAGGCTGTTGCCCTGCAGGCACCGGCGCATAACTAGGAGCCTGTCTCGAGGCAGGAGCTGGTAAGTGCTGGAAGTTCGCAAAGGGCCCACAGGAACAGGGCGGTACAACTTAACACGGTCTGGATGTCCAGATGGAAGAGCCTGGAAAGCATGCCAGGCGATGCAACACAGAGTGAAGAACATCAACATCAACACAACTGTTCAGAAAGAAAAGCAGTATTAGCGTCAACAAATAATTGCTGGAAAAAAGTCATATTCGTTGAAAAAAAAAAAAATTTATTAGCTGAAAAACGCTTTGCTGAAAGTACATAATATGAAGAGAAAATGATATTTCATATAATTATTGCTATTTTTGTAAAGGCATTGACAAAATGAAAATAAAACTGTAGATGAACTATTTTCATTGCATTATTATTATAATTACTATTATTAATAATAGTAGCAGTGGTCGTGGTAGTAGTAGTAGTAGTAGTAGTAGTACTTCTGTTAGAATCATTATTATTAGAACATTCATTAGGAAGCACTAAACCCGTAAGGGTCATACATCACATAAAATAAAATTACGAGGCTATCGACTACTCGACACTGAAACTATCGAGATAGCGAGGAAACTCCTCGCTATCAGAAAAATACAAGTGAACACTTGAACTCTATACAACATATTTGTATTTCGCATCATTTTAACTGAGATATTCGCTTGAGAAGTGATTCGTCCCACACGCCGGTGACCACAGGCAAGAGTGTAGTCATTCAACTAGGTTGAACGTTTATTCTATTCAGCAGAATCTTCTATTCAGCAGAATCTGAGCTTCATGCTTCTGCATTTTCAAAAATCAGTAATATGATAAGTGTTGAACATTGTCGGGAGTAAAAGCTTCAGTTGAACGGGGAAAAAACATTATATTTCCACAGCGGCTTGTTACGTCTCCCAGTATTCTTTCACTACATGATAATACAATAACAAGGGATGTATTCTTTGAAAACAAGCATATCTGGAGACCTGAGCCTTGCCGGACAATTATACGATCGACCTTGGGGAGGAATGCTTCCAAAAGACTCAACGTCGTTCACTATTATTTTCACTCAGTACAGCCAGAAGAAAACAAACTCCGATTTTCGGGAAAAGATTGAAAAGCTTTTGTGGTGAAGTACAGGCTTCTCTTTGTGTGTGAGTGCGTTTGCGTGTGTTAGTGTACTCAGGCAGTTGTGGCTGTGGAAGGGGAAGTCGATCCAGGTTCCTGGACATCTGACAGAAAATATGAGTTTCCTGAGGATAGCTCAGTGTGGACAATGACTCAAAATTCTTAGCCTTAGGGTCTCTATCTGCCTACTATCGAATCTATCAGGTATCTCCTAAATCTGCATATATAATGTGCTTTCACTACTTGTTCGTCTAAATTTTTTCCATTTCTTAGCCACCATTAGATTGAAAAAAGTATATTGTCTGACATCTTCATGATACATTTCCCTTTTGTCTGACTTCGAGTGCCCTATCGAGTCTTCTGAGTATCCTCTACGTCGTTGAAGTGTCCACCCTGTTTCTCCACAGAGTTGAAAGAAATAGTTTATATTTTCTTTCTTTACAAGTCTCTGTAAAGGCTAGAAGTGTAAACAGTCTGAGCGTCTTGTCAAAGTATCCCTAATGAGCAAGTCTCTATAGTCAGCTTTAAAACTAATTTTCAATACTCTGTGGCATTTCTGACGTACAAAGAAGTGCTGGAATTACTTTTTAGTTAAGATCACCAGGAATGTATACACCGTTGTGGTTAATGAACCAAGCTACGCCTTCTGTAATGTTATTGTTATGTAATGTTATGTTATGTTACCCTTGTTTTTTTTTAATCTGAGGTTTGTCCTCTCTGTGTTCTGCATTCGATCCTTTCTCTCCTTCTCCAGTTTTCATAACCAGGCACTTCTGGAGGTTCAGAGCCAATAACCACCTGTGTGATAGTTCCTGATGTTCCCAAATCATCACCACCTAATTGTTACTCTCTTTTACGGTATTTTTTCATCATAAATACTGAATCATCTGGAAACAGCAGCTCTTAAGATTTTATTTTCTCAGGCATGGTATTTACATTAACGAAGAGCAACCACAAGTCCCTGGACGGATATCTGTGGGACACTGGTCCTGGTCATCCATCTGGATACTGTACCTTACTCCCTAAGCATTTCTGTCCTTTCATTTCTCTTTTCTCACTTCTACCCTTTACCCTCTACCTTCTCTGCAATTTCCTTCCTTCCCCCTCCCTCTCCATGCCTCGTCTCCTCCCTTCCCCTTCCCAAACCTCTTCTTTGCCTTCTTCCTTTCGTCCCTTCCCTTCCTCTCTTTTCCCTTCAAACAGTTCCTTTTCTTATTAAATAACGCTTAACAATTCGCAGATGAGCGAAATTATCTACAAACATGTTTAGTAAGGTTGGGTGTGGTTAATTACATAAGTCTATAAAATCTTGTATTTAACCACATGTTGAAAAAATAAACGGCAACGATGTATCTAGCAATGAGGCACTCATTCTAATGTTATATTTTAATATTAGTGAGAAAATGGAGTTGCCACCGGTGATGTATCTAGCAATGAGGCACTCATTCTAATGTTATATTTTAATATTAGTGAGAAAATGGAGTTGCCACCGGCGATGTATCTAGCAATGAGGCACTCATTCTAATGTTATATTTTAATATTAGTGAGAAAATGGAGTTGCCACCGGTGATGTATCTAGCAATGAGGCATTCATTCTAATGTTATATTTTAATATTAGTGAGAAAATGGAGTTGCCACCGGCGATGTATCTAGCAATGAGGCACTCATTTTAATGTTATATTTTAACATTCTTGATAAAATGAAGTTGCCACCTTCCACCCCACTTCCCTAACTCACCTCCGAGAACCATCATTAAGGTGCCAGCAATCCAGAACCCCGTCAGCATTTGCAGGTCAGAGGTGAACAAGACCACACCTATCATACTGCAGGCGACGCCGAAGCTCGCCAGTAGGAAGATGCAGGTCCTGCCTACCTTCCTGCCACACACCTGCAACCATGAATAAAATTAAGTCACACACACCTGCACCAGTAGATTAGGTTCACTCATACACACCTGTAAGCCTGGGTTAAAGTTGAGCCACGCAAACTTGCGTATGGACTGCCTACAGTCCATACGCAAACCTGCATGATTCGATGTACTTCAGTTACAGATCTGCATTCTGACCCACAACCAGATACACATTGATAAAGTTCAGTCACACACTTGCCTACTGACCTCCTACAAACTTACAACCATAGATAAGGTTCGATCAAACACACACACACACACACACTAGGGATAAATATTACTAACGCACACACCTTCAAGATTATATGAAATTTAATCACAACGTCTCAGTGTTAAATTTCTTTGGGACATAAACAATCTTATGTATACGTGCTTCCATGATAAAAATATCAATAAACATATTACGTACATTCCTAACATCCTAAACTAGAAAATACGTATGCATTTTCCTGACATAAATAACATTAAACGTACGTTAGTTACCAATAAATGTTCTATAGTATGTGTGCATTGTTTAATGAAGACAATATTCATATTTTTGTTTCTTAGTGTTTGTATCTGTTGGTAGAGCTAACCTGTGCGCCGCGTCTGAGGTAAGCAGGACCCACCAGTGGAACCATCTGCACAGTTGTAGTCATCGTTGTAGTCGCCTCCACCGCCCTTGTCTGCGTTCTCGGCTCTCTTGTTACTGAAACGACACCGGATGTCATGAAATGAGCTCTGACCAGCTCTCTCTCTCACGCACGCACGCACTCACACACACACACACACACACACACACACACACACACACACACACACACACACACACACACACACACACACACACTAATAAGGAATCGTTCAGGACCCTGTACACCGTATACGTTAGGCCCATATTGGAGTATGCGGCACCAGTTTGGAACCCACACCTAGCCAAGCACGTAAAGAAACTAGAGAAAGTGCAAAGGTTTGCAACAAGACTAGTCCCAGAGCTAAGAGGTATGTCCTACGAGGAGAGGTTAAGGGAAATCAACCTGACGACACTGGAGGACAGGAGAGATAGGGGGGACATGATAACGACATACAAAATACTGAGAGGAATTGACAAGGTGGGACAAAGACAGGATGTTCCAGAGATTGGACACAGTAACAAGGGGACACAGTTGGAAGCTGAAGACACAGATGAATCACAGCGATGTTAGGAAGTATTTCTTCAGCCACAGAGTAGTCAGTAAGTGGAATAGTTTGGGAAGCGATGTAGTGGAGGCAGGATCCATACATAGCTTTAAGCAGAGGTATGATAAAGCTCACGGCTCAGGGAGAGTGACCTAGTAGCGACCAGTGAAGAGGCGGGGCCAGGAGCTCGGACTCGACCCCCGCAACCTCAACTAGGTGAGTACAACTAGGTGAGTACACACATACACACACTACACACATACACACACACACACACACACACACACACACACACACACACACACACACACACACACACACACACACACACAGGGAGAGAAATAGGGGGGAGGGGATCATAACGACATATAGTGAGAGGAACTGACAAGGTGGATAGGGACAGAATGATTCAGACATGGGACACAGCAACAAGGAGTCACAACTCGAAAACTCAGATGAGTCACAGGGATGTTGGGAAGTATTTCCTCACTCATAAAGTTGTCAGGAAATGGAACAGACTTAACAGTGATGTAGTGGAGGCAGGATCCATACACAGCTTTAAGAAGAAATACGATAAAGCTCATGGAGCAGGGAGAGTGGACCTAGTAGCGACCAGCGAAGAGGCAAGGTCAGGAGATTTAATGTAATATTAAATAAATTTTAGATAATGAGATATATATATATATATATATATATATATATATATATATATATATATATAATATATATATATATATATATATATATATATATATATAAATTATTATTATAAAATCTTTTTCTCTCTACAAATCGGCCGTATCCCACCGAGGCAGGGTGGCCCAAAAAGAAAAACAAAAGTTTCTCTTTTTAACTTTAGTAATGTATACAGGAGAAGGGGTTACTAGTCCCTTGTTCCAGGTATTTTAGTCGCCTCTTACGACACGCATGGCTTACGGAGGAAGAATTCTGTTCCAATTCCCCATGGAGATAAGAGGAAATAAGAACAAAAACTAGTAAGAAAATAGAAAAAAATCCAGAGGGGTGTGTATATAAATGCTTGTACATGTAAGTGTAGTGTGGCCTAAATGTGAGTAGAAGTAACAAAACATACCTGAAATCTTGCATGTTTATGAGACACAGAAATGACACCAGCAATCCTACCATCATGTAAAACAATTAGACTTTCGTTTTACACTTCGCAGGACGGTAGTACCTCCCTGGGCGGTTGCTGTCTACCAACCTACTACCTAGAAAAATTTAACTAAGAGAATTTGTTAGTTTTAGAGAGGTTACGTGAGGTTTCTAAGTTAGTTTTGGTCCAAAGATAAAAATCATTATATCATTGTTAATGAAAAAAAATAGCTACCAATTTGTTAAAAATAGTTTGGAAAAGTTTAATTTTTAAGGGAGTTCGGACTATTTGACAAGTTCGGCTTATTTAGTACGACATATATAAATTGATGAAATCACTAAACAATTGATTTTGAATCATTAACAGAACTGCTGCTGGCTAGGACTCGATCCTACATTCCCCTGCCCAGCCCTGTGAGAACAGGACACAGTACGCATCACTCATGTATTCTATAAACTACAGAGAGAGAGAGAGAGAGAGAGAGAGAGAGAGAGAGAGAGAGAGTGAGAGTGAGTCTGAGGTAAAAGAGAGTGAGAGTGGTTTTAAGTGCCCCCACAAGACGATCCTTGAGACGCCAAAGCAATAAACTTTCAAGGAGATCAGCAACTTTCTCACTGGCACCATGAGTCACCTTGCAGTGTAATGGTGTATCACTTAAAATTTGTACCTCATTTTAATATGTAAATTCTAAACACGTCATCGTCTTCCATATTAATGCATAATTTTATTAATTTACGTATTTTGTATATAAATATATATATTATATATATATATATATATATATATTATATATATATATATATATATATATATATATATAATATATGTGTATATATATAATGGTCCATAATGCCAAGGCATAATAGAGGCTGTCTTTGCATTGCAACCCACTATTGCATATACACAATCTCAATGTACTGTTTTCAAAGACACTAAATAAATAAATAATAAATAAATAAATAACTATGTTGTGTTGTATCTTAGAGGCAGAACAATGTTTGTGGGGTCGAATCCTGGCCTACTGCAGTTTGGTAAATGATTTAAAATAACTTATTTCGTGATTTCATTGATTATTATATATATATATATATATATATATATATATTTTTATATATATATATATATATAATATATAATATATATATATATATTATGCCTTTTACTTCAGTGTTCATTATAATACCCCTTCCCAAGTGTGTAAATCCTTCTTTTGCTCCAGTATACACGACCTCCATCTAATCCAGCGTAAAGGATTCCCTCCCTCTCTAATCCTGTGTGCATGGCTTCTACTCCAGTGTACAAGTCATCCCACTGCTACAGCGTACAAGGCTTTCTCCTCTACTCCAGTGTACAAGTCATCCCACTGCTACGGCGTACAAGGCTTTCTCCTCTACTTCAGTGTGCAACTACTCTCATGTGTATGATACCACTGCTCTAGTGTACATGACTTTCAGTGTATGATACCTGTGCTTCAGTGTACATGGCTTCCAGTGTACATAACTTCCAGTGTACGATACCTCTACTCCAGTGTACGCGGCCACTAATCTAATGTACTAGGCCTCTGTTCCATTGAGTGTAATGTTGGTAGAGTTACCGACGGCTTTGTCAAGCCGTTACCTTAACTGCTTGACAAAACCTGTGGAGAGCGAAACGCTGCCACAATAAAATGTCGCATTAATGTCCTTTTACCTAACATATTCTACTGAGGAATGCCTCACTCTGCTCCAGTGCATAAACTCTCCTTCTATTTTCTTCTTAATTTAGCGACACCCTAAGAGCTCAGAAGAAAAAATAACGTGAAAAGCGTACGAAAGATCGTCTTTAACACCCCTTGTTTAGTGCTCCACATGAATAATACCAATAATAATAATGATAATCATAATAATAAGGGGGATTGCCAGTAGACCCCTGGTTGTCTTCAAGAAGGCGCTGGACAAGCACCCAAAGTCAGTACCTGATCATCCAGGCTGTGGTTCGTTCGTCGGTTTGCGTGTTACCAGCAGTAACAGCCTGGTTGATCAATCCCTGATCAACCTCGAGGCCTGGTCACAGACCGGTCCGCGGGGGCGTTGATCCCCGAAACCCCCCTATAGATATAATCCCGTTGAAAGGCAGGGGAAGCACCTCACACTGTTATGGTTATCACTTGTAAGCAGACGTTGCTGAATTCATTGGAATGTTTGGTCATATCCTCATCGCCTCACTGGTGTCTCCCAGTTTAGGTTGACGGAAAATGGTATCTACTATGGGACTTCCCTCCTTTATGAAGGAGTACGAGAGGGAAAGAAGGCTTTTGTTCCCACTGCATAACTACCACACAGAATAGTGTACCAGCACACCCTTGATGTGCCTTATTTGCTCTAATAATTGATAAACTGATGGTAAACTGCTGACGCGGATCATAGATAAATTATGAATCGTTTATTGGCCAAGTAACAGCAGGCGTACCTATGTTAGGAATTCACACAATATGAAAGAAATAGATACCATCCATCTTATAGGTGTTGTACTGAATGTACATAATATTTAAATTGGGTTATTTGGTTTCTCAAGCTGTGTTTGTAATGCCTGTAATGAGAGAGAGAGAGAGAGAGAGAGAGAGAGAGAGAGAGAGAGAGAGAGAGAGAGAGAGAGAACTGGAGAACTGGAGAATAAAAATTGATATAGAAATTATCTTCACTTTCCACAACCCAATAAAGTGATTCTTAGACTCCGACCTCACATGATCTTTTCCTTTTCTTCCCCTCAAGTGTGTTATGCAATGTTACCTGCGTCACTTCCTCTTTCAACTCTCTCTCTGCATCATTTAGTTGATGCTGGAGGCAGTAAGTCAAGGCTGACGTTGTTTCTTGATCACTTAATTAGTTGTGATTGCTCGTTTAATCTCCCCAGGGATTACCCACTAATGACTGGCCATGAACTGTATATCGGGTCGATGATATAGCTGTTATATTAATATTATTACTTTTTTTACTGATGAATCTGCCAGTGCTGCTGCTGCTGCTGCTGCTGTTGCTAATGCTCCTGCTGATTATATTGTTGGTGCTAGTTTTTCTGGTGCTGGTACTAGTGCTTCTCCTGCTAGTGATGCTAGTGCTGTTCGTACTGCTGCTACCGATGCTATTGGGTCTGCTGATGGTGGTATTGCCGCTATTACTGCTACTAGTAGTGTCACTAGTACTGGTAACACTGATGCTACTACTACTTCTGCCACAATTACTAAACCTGTTACTAGTGCCACTATTACTACTACTACTAGTATCGTTACTACTGCTGCTACTACTAGTGTCACTGCTGCTTTTGCTGCTGCAGAAGTTATCTGTAATATTTTCTGTGTGTAAGATTTAGCAGTGTTTATATTAATATTGTAATACAAAAACTGCGAAGAGGTACAGTATTTAGATACAGGTATACGTAAGTACAATTATCATACACAGTAACATAATACACAGTATCATACACAGTAAATCAGAGTGCAAAACACAAAGTGATTTACACATGTTACTGTGTGATAATTACTCTTGTGTATACCTGTATTTAAATAAACTTACCTACAAGAACAGGCAAACCAAATGGTAAGTGGATAAAAAAAAATCAGAGAATAATAGCAGAATTTTCAACAATCAGCACCATCGTACTGTCAACCAGCAGAAAGAAACAAACCCTTCTAACCTTCAAATGATCCCAACCGCAGATCTGACCGCTCTAACCACAGACCTTCACTACAACCATCTTCCTCCTGGGGATGAGACCCTTAACCAGATCCATCATCCTCCTGGTGATGGGACAATCCCATCACTACACCCAACAGACGACAGCAACAACAACAAAAAAAAAGTGAAATACTGAAGTCTCAGTATTGGTTCATGTTTAATGAGATGCCAGACAAAGGTTGACAAACCAAATTAATTTTTCCTCAGCGAGACTCGAAACTTTGTTTACATCTCCAAATTTTCCGATATTACCTGGAGTTTACCTGGAGAGAGTTCCGGGGGTCAACGCCCCCGCGGCCCGGTCTGTGACCAGGCCCTATCCCTGCTAGATTTCGAGAGAATCGTTGAACATATGTCAAAGCACTTTCCCAGGCACGAATCTTAATGGCACTCATGTGCAATCAAGAACTTTACTCCACAAAGGTGGTAGTGAAAGCCACGTTTAAAGAACTATAGACCAAAAGCATTGACATTCCACGTGATAAAAATCTTTGAAAGAGTTTGAAGCAAGATCTCTAATGAAATAATATCAAACATTACCCCAACCCAGACAGCATGGTTAAAGCAGGTCGATCCTGCCTCTCACTGCTACTTAGACCATTACATGCTCTTTAGATGGACTGTCAAAAAAAATGCAGATGCAATATACACAGGATTTGCAAAAGCATTTACCAATAGACCCCTGGCTGTCTTCAAGAGGGAGTTGAACAGGCATCTAAAGTCAGTTCCCCACCAATCGGGCTGTAGTTCTTACGTCGGTTTGCGTGCACCCAGCAGTAACATCCTGGTTGATCAGGCCCTGATCTACCGCGAGGCCTGGTCATGGACCGGACCGCGGGGGCATTGACCCCCGAAACACCCCACCTGGAGGCTACCTGGAGGGTATTCCGGTGATCAACGCCCATGTGGGCCGGTTCACGACCACCCTCTAGGTATACTAGCACACAAAATTCGTGCAAATGGTCAGCTGGCGAAGTTGGCAAATGGATTTTAAACTTTCTAATAAAATGCAACAATAGTAAATAGAGTTAAATCACAGGCTACCTCATGGAAAAGCTTTGGTACCCCACTCCTCGTCCTCTTGTCCGACAAAGATAGAGATATAAATCGTAGCACTGCATCATGCTTTGCAGACAATACTAAAATTTGTATGAGAGTGACATAAATTGAGGACACATGTCATTATCACCACTGCTGCCAGCGAAGAGATGGAGCTAGGAGTTGTGCATCGTCCCCTGCAACCACATATAGGTGAGTACATACGCGCGCGAGCAAGCACGCTAGAGGAGCAGGTAGGAATTATATTATTATTATTATAATCAAGGGGGAAGCGCTAAACCCGGAAGATTATACAGCGCCTGGGGGGGGGGATGTGGAAGGCATTCAGGCTTAATTCGGGGAACTGGAGCACAGATCCAATTCCCTAAATCAAGAGCCCCTCACCAACATCAAGGAGCCTTCCTTGAGGGGGTAGGAATTATAGGGAAAGCACTACAGCACTACATTCATCTACAAACTACAGTGTGTGTACAGGTGTCTGAATGGGTGAATGCGAAGAGTGCAATTCCACAAGGGTCAGTCAGTATTCGTACGAGTAATATTTATTGTATATGTGTAGTTTGTACAAGACATGGCAGAGGAAATCGAGCCAGAGGTGTCCCTGTTAGCAGATATGAAACTAATGAGAATACAAACAGGGGTAGACCAGGATAAACTACAAATGGATCTGGACATGCTGCATGACTGGTCTGACAAGTGGCTACTGGAATATAACCCCAGCAAATGCAAATTATGAAAATCAGAGAAGGGCAAAGACGTCTGGAAACAGTGTACAAGCTAATGGAAAAACAAAGGTTACAAACCTCCCTTAAAGAGAAAGACCTCGGGGTGAGCATAATTCTAAGCAAATGCTTAGAATTATGCTCACCCCGAATGCTTAGAATGCTTAGAATTATGCCTGAAGCAAACATCAACCCAATAACCGCTGCAGCAAACGCGAGACTGGGAAATTTAAGTGTACCTTCCAGAAATATCAACATCCACCTTCAGCCCGGCATATGTTCGACCCATCCTGGAGTATGCAGTGCCAGTATGGAACCTGCATCTGGTAGAGCATGCAAAGTAGTTTTAAAAAGTGCAAAGAAATGCAACTAAATCAGTCCAGAGCCGAGGGGTATGAACTATGAGAAGTGGTTAGAGGAGCTACACCTGACGACACTAGAGGATAGAAGGATCAGAGTTGACATGATTACAGCATACAAATTGCTCAGAGGAACTGACAGGGTGGAGAGGGAGAATCTGTCTGAGAGGCGGGTCTCAGGTACACGAGATCACAGATGCAAGTTAAAAGGACAGATGTGTCAAAGGGATGTTAGAGAATACTTTTTTAACCTTAGAGTGACCAGGAAGTGCAGCTACCTAGAGAGTGAAGTGGTACATAGGCTTAAGAATAGGTATGATAGGGTTCACTCAGCCAGGAGATAAGGAGAACCAGGAGCTGATACTCGACCCCAACAACCACAGCTGCGCGAATACGTACGTTCGTGTATACACACACACACACACACACACACACACACACACACACACACACACACACACACACACACACACACACACACAAATAACTAGGTGAGTAAACACGTTCATAAACCAGTCTTGCACAAGCACGTGTTAAACATTCCTCCGTTCTGAAAGTGACTTTTTCTTGCTGGTATACTCTTATACTTACAAGTTGTATACATTTAGATTGAGTCCCTAACGTTTCGATGATAAACTGACGAAATATCATAAGTTTTCTTCAGTACTTGTCAAATTACAAGGGTTTGGAGAGCATCGAGTTGCCACTTGTTGCAGCCCCTTGCGTCATATTGTGTTGTATTATTGTCTGAATTCATATTATATGACTTGCACAACGTTCCATTGGTAAACACGAGATTATCCTTGTTGATGTAGCAGTGTTATAGCCACTGGAGACAATGGCATACATTAAAATAAGGTCATTGTTGATCGTCTTTAAAGTATGGTTCTCCTGCCAGAGCGTCGCCAACACCACAGGTCGAGTCTGTGATCGGGTATTCAGTGTCTCTTTCCATATTTCTGTTAAAAAGCTATCTACACCGGATTATTCTTGGGAATTTTCCAGGCCTTCAGCAGCAGGTTATTTAGATTATCATAAATACCATGCTGCCACTCGGTAATTTAAGATCGGAATCACAAAACTTGGTATCCAGTGACTCCACACGTTCACACCCTTGGCAGGGGAGTACAACAACTGCAGTTGGGAGGAGATGTTTGGGAAAGGTCGCGCTGCCAGATACACCCACTTGGGCACCATGACTATTCAACCTCACACTTTTATATAATCAAATACAATTGCAAGTTTAATCATTATAAGCTCAGACTGTCTTGTTTGACCCAGCCAGACATGGATGTCGAGCTAAGAAAATAAGACGCTTATCTAATCTCCGTAAATACAAAAGAGAAACAACTAAATATTACCTGATTTTTTATATAAGTATTGCTGCCACACACACACACACACACACACACAACACACAACACACACACACACACACACACACACACCACACACACACACACACACACACACACCACTATAATATACATATATATATATATATATATATATATATATATATACATATAATATATATATATATATAATATATATTATATATTATATATATATATATATATATTTGTTCACTATTCATGTTTGTGAGTTGCATCACTTCACAAAAGTTATATCTATCCTGTGTTACTAATATGTTTTCCGTCCTAGATGAAATAGTACTTCTTGTAATTAAGAACTAGCCTTGTTAAATGTCATCCATACCTTCCCCCTGCCTCATTATCTTCTGTTAAAATCTTAATGAATGGTTGTTCATATATCACTGTATTTGTACACTTTACGTACTTCTGTAGCCAATGTTCTGCTGTTTGTTTTGCAGTGTGCATAGTTCCCTTTGTAACTCAACTCAACGTCCAAACATTCAATATTTACATTGTTGCTAAGACTGGCAAACGGTGAGTGTTCAAGAGTATTAAATAGTATTTAGCTTACTGTGTATTTTCCTTTACGCCCGGCGAGTCCCTGTTTTCTGCTCTGTATTACCTTCTACGGTTCTATAGCCTCTTTTGTTATAAGTATCTAAAGGGTTATAATTGACCATAATTTTTAAAGGTTTAAAGGGGTGGACCGGTATGCCAGCGGAAGGCCTCGGTCTGATGACCAAAAGCCCCAACGGCGGGTCATCATATGACTAAGACTCGCGTCAGGAAACACACTGTCCTGTTTCCTGACGAACTTTACCTAACCTAACCTCTTTTGTTGTGACAAGGTTAAACACAAAGGTGCTGGTCTACCCACATCTACCGACCACGGCCTTAATTTTGAATAATTAATCATAAATATTGCAATTCCTTTCTTTTTTTGTTAGTTTTCTTTTAAAGTATGGCCATTTCTGTGGTATATAAAATAATGAATTATTATTTATTATTATTATTATTATTATTATTAGTAGTAGTAAGTAGTGATAGCAATAACATATAATAATAATAATAATAATATGAAATTTAATTCTTGTTATGTATCTTAAAATGATTAGAAGAGATCTCCATGTTGTGGTTTATCTGAGTTCTCAGACTTGAATCCTTCAGCACAGCACAGCACTACTAAATCTAAAATATAAAAAAAATAACAATATACATACATGACTAAATCTGAGAAGTAACATCCAGAACTGTTTGTCTCCTTATTCATGATTCCAGGCCTAACAACGAGTATAAAATATTGACGTCTAACAAATTGTCTTACAAACATGACGTTAGCTTTTGCATCCATTATAGCTCGTTGTTATATGCCGATCTAAGCATCTACAAAAATTAAATATTTTGTTGACGTTTGGGGGCGAGTTGAACGTAGACATTTATATAAATAAAACCACAGCTGTATCGTTCGTAGATGATACCGGAATCTCTTGAGTAGCATCCATCGTGCCGATGTAAGGACAAGGCTTCCAATCAGCCGCTGGAAAGCATATGATGTTCAAAGAGGACTAATTTCAGCTACGGCACTATGAAGAGCTTAAATACAAAATTCAGGAAAAACATTCTTGTCAATAAGAAACCCGGAGGTATGCGTGTTAAAAGGTCTTGCAGTAAAAGTGAGTAGTTGCATGCCAGCGAGAGATGTCAAGTGAATAATGACACTCTTTAAGGTACTTGCACTCTCAAGACTGGAATATTGCTAAGGACTAAACACCCCCATTTGAACCCAGTGAATTGGAGATGTGATGAATTTGCAGAGAACATTCACTGTCCACATCTATTCAATTACCTAAATTATAGAGATAGTCTGCCATCCATCACGCTGTAGTCCCTGGAGCGCTAGCCAGAAAGATATATGATAATTTACCCCTGGAAAATACTGAAAAGACTGGTTCCAAGTCTTCACGATAAAATAACTCCTCACGAGAGCGGGAAGAGAGAGGTAAACTAAACAAAAGAAAATGGCCCTAGTAAAAAGCTAGGTGAAATATGTACATCAAGAGATCACGTATTAAGTATTAAAAGTCAAATACTCTTCAAGATCCTTCTTTAAATAAAAAAAATTACCATCGATACATACATACACACACACACACAACACACAACCATATATAATAAATATATATAATATATATATATATATATATATATAAATATATATATATATATATATATATATATATATATGCAAAGCAAGCCACATGGGGATGGAAATCTTTAGTTCTAAATCTTTCGCACACTCATGCGTCATCAGGAGCTATGCAATGTTGCAAGATAGCAACAGATAGGAAGGGAAATTCTCTGAGACAAGGCAGAAGGTATCAGTGGCAACCCATATCACAGATGTTTGTGTGTGTATGTGTGTATACTACGAGTTTAATCACCATTTTAAGGATTATCCTTGAATAATGGCGAATAGGTTACATGGATCTTCAATGCCCCATGTGTAGTCGGTAAGCTTAAAACCTAAATTATCCAACAACCACCCACACCATAGGTATGGAGTGCATAAAAAAATCCAAACAATATTCAGGAAAGTTCCGCTATAGACACTACGACAGTCAAAAGACATGTGTATACATTGTCGTTCAAAAAAAATTGCAGACGCCGCCAGAAGAAAAAGTCGAGCATTGGCAAACATCTTCATTAATACGATGTAGACTCCTCCAGAAGAAGGATAACAACAACATAAGCACTGACAAACATTTTCATGTACTCGCCATAGGCGGGAGCAGCTTGTAGAAAAAAAGACAAATATTTGCAATAATGTTCTTTTATAAGTTACAGGAACTGCCTGATTTTTTTGGAAATGCATTTTTGTTCATTTATAAGTTTTAGAGGCTGTGTGTGTGTGTGTGTGTTAGAGAGAGAGAGAGAGAGAGAGAGAGAGAGAGAGAGAGAGAGAAGAGAGAGAGAGAGAGAGAGAGAGAGAACGAACAAACGAAGGACCAATGTGTAAATCAGCAGATTAACAAAAGTATAAATAAACATTAAAAAATTTCTTTTTGTCATAAACAACGTACACCAGATCAAAGGAATAAAAGAGAAAGGTATTTGGTACGGCAGCAGATTGCAAATGGAAAGCTACAAATGCTCTTTTTGGTTATACACTGGTATGCAGTTGTTGCACAAATATTATACAAAGGCATATAATGGCATACAAAGATTATACATCCGTGTATTTATTGATTGTACCAAGTGTATGCGTATATATTCGGAGATTGTACCAGTGTACATATGTATTCATAGGTTTCACCAAGATTAATAATATGTATTCAGGGTTGCACCAAGATTAATAATATGTATTCGGGTTGACCAGTTAAATTATTCATAGGTTTCACCAAGATTAATAATATGTATTCAGGGTTACACCAAGATTATACATACAAAATTATACTAGTATACTAAGAATATACAAATGTATACAATATCAACGCTTATCCAAGGATTTCAAATGCTATAAAAATAACATACCAAACCTATACAAAAAAAATAAAGATTTTTTTACAAATGTATTTAAAGGGTGAATAAAAAACATTCAAAGGTTACGCAAAAGAACACATTATACGCACATATACGCAAAGATCCTGACGCATCAGACGACAGTCACTTGAAGTTTCAATCAACCAGATTTGGCTTCTACTGATTTTTCACTCACTTTTGAAAGCCAGTCTAGTTTATTCGACAGCAATAATCCTTAAGGGAGGTTCCTCGACGCTGACGAGGGGCTCTTGATCTAGGGAATTGGATCTGTGCTCCAGTTCCCTGAATTGAGCCTGAATACCTTCCATACCCCCCCCCCCCAACATGCTCTGTATAATCCTACGGGTTTAGCGCTTCCCCATGATTATAATAATCGACAGCAGTAACATGTGTAGTAAGTACAAGCCTTTATTGAGACGTTTTATTAAGGAGTTTTATTAAGGCGTTTTAATAAGACGTTTAAAAAATAATGGGGAAAATGTTTCTCAATAAAGCGTCTATTCCACAAAGTTACAATTTATTTCTTTTAAAATAGATATCCAGGGATTGTATAATTTTCATGCTAGTTTTATTTTTTCCCCGAGGCCTATTTTAGATTGTTATCAGAGCCTATAATAAAACTAGTGAATCACAGCAATGAGAAAACTATGAATCACAGCATTGGGAAAATTAGTGAATCACAGCTATGAGAAAACTAATGAATCACAGAACTGAGAAAACTAGTGAATCACAGCACAGAGAAAGCTAGTGAATCACAGCACAGAGAAAACTAGTGAATCACAGCACTGAGAAAACTAGTGAACCTCGGTAGTGACAACACTGGCAAAACACAGCAATACAAAATAAGTAGCGAGTCATAGCATTGAAAAGCCAGTTTATAACAGCAACGATAGACCAGCAACGACAGAGCAACAACGACAGAACAACAACGACAAAGCAACAATGACAGAATAATAACTTCAGAGCAACATCGACAGAGCAACATCGACAGAACAACATCGACAGAGCAACATCGTCAGAACAGCAACGGCAGATCAATTCAAAATTCAAACCATAACGAAACACGACTCTCTCTCTCCATCTCGTGGTGATCTGCTCTTGCAACTGTGTCCCTGTTTACCTAGAGAGGGTTGTGGGAGTCAACGCCCCCGCAGCTCGATCTGAGACTCGGCCTCGTGGTGAATCAGGGTCTAATCAACCAGGCTGTGAAATTATATTTCACGAAAATCTAAGCTAATACGAGTCATTCACTGCTAGGAGGCTCGATCCTTCGTGCCCCTAATCGACAACGGAAAACTAATACTGTCATATCGTCTAAAATTTTCAAAATAATTTAGTCACAGATATTGGTAAAATTAGTGATAATATGTTAGGTAAGAGAACATCACAGTGGCTAATGAAACATTAAGGCTCCATTTCACTCATCAAGAGCGAAACGTAAATATAATAAATGTCTCAGTATTTGCTCTTGCTTCCTGTTACCTAACATATTTAGTTTCACAGCATATTTGATTTTCCAGCATATTTTACTGCCCAGCATATTTTTCTTTTCTGTACTTGCCGTTTGTGATATGATCTATTTCAGTCACATCATATTTCATATTGTGATCTTTTTCATTGTGCTTTATTTGTATCTCTTCTATCGCTTGCCTTCTTCCATTGATTCGTATTAGATTTTGTTTCGCATTTCGTTATCGCCTCGTCCGTCTAAAAACCTCACCGTCTCTCGTAGTGGCTTCGTTTTTCCTTTTACCTGGAGTTTACCTGGAGAGAGTTCCGGGGGTCAACGCCCCCGCGGCCCGGTCTGTGACCAGGCCTCCTTTGGTTTTTGTTCTCGCATATAACCAGTCATAACCTCTCCATCCTTCCTAACCCTTGGTATTTCGTTATAGCTCGGTGAGGCAGAAGCTGTGTGTAACAAACATGCGAAAGTCATCACGGGTGACGCGGAGAATGCCAAAGAAACCGAAGAAAGGAAGAAGAGAGAGAGAGAAAAAATGAGGTAATTGCATTCCTGCGGGGAGAACTGGGCCTTTTTTTTTTATGGCTAAATTGATCTTTTCTTGTCTCTCTCGGAGACCTGCAATGTGGACGATGCGATGTGAGTTGACAACTCTGTGATGATGCAGGTTTGAGATGACCACTTTGTGATGCTGTGGGTGTGATGATCTTGTCATACTATGGATGCGAGATGATCTGTGAAATAACGACCTGGTGATGCTGTAGGAGTGAGATGACAACCTCTGAGATAACTTTTTGATGCTGTAGGTGTGAGATAATGATATTGTGATGCTGTGTGTATATGACCATCAGTGAGACAATGATTTTTTTTGACACTGTGGGTGAGATGACCTTGTAATGCTGTGGATGTTAGATGACAAACTGTGAAATGACGACCTTTTGATGCTGTGGGTAAGAGATGGAGGCCTTGTGGTGCTGTGAGTGAAAGATGACGGCCATTTGGTGCTGTGAGTGAGAGATGACGGCCGTGTGGTGCTCTGGGTGAGAGATGACGGCCTTGTGGTGCTGTGGTGAGAGACAACGGCCTTCTGGTGCTGTGGGTAAGAGTTGACAGCCTTGTGGTGCTCTGGGTAAGAGTTGACTGCCTTGTGGTGCTGTGGATAAGAGATGAAGACTTGCAAGAAAACGAGCTGTTGATGCTAAGAGTGTGAAATAACCTTACGATGCTGTGGACTTGAGATGACAGCCTGAGAGATGACACCCTGAGAGATGACACCCTGAGAGATGATACCCTGAGAGATGACAACCTGAGAGATGACGTATGAGATGACCTGCGAGAGGATGGTTCTGTGAGATGACAACCTGGTGATGCTTAAGTATTGCTTTTAGATATCAATGTGGCTGAGTAGCATTTTCTTCTGCTTCGTCATTTGTCTATGTATGCAAAACAACTACTATGAAAAAAAAATTGAATTTCCAATCGCTTTCGTGATTTCTCACGTTATCAAGGAATTGTAAAAATAATAGAACAGTAGAAGACTTACAAGCCTTTTGCTGTCCTATTAATTTTTGCAGATCCTAGACTAGTTAATTTATACTTACCTTCGATGTACCTCTGATGAGTTCCAAGTGTTTTTCTACTCCTGGAGTCCGGCCATGGCACAGGGTCTCCTGGTACTTTCCTGGTCAACAAGGCTGTTGCTGTTGGTGGCCCGCAGTGCTACATCCATCACAGCCTGGTTGGCCTGACAACTGGTGAAGATGCTTGTATGATAATTGTACTTGTAAATTTACTAATGGAAATAAAGAAGAATGGGGGAGCACTGGAGTGGTTCTGGTCTCATTTGCTAAGCTGGTTCTTCTTAATTAAGTCCATCCTTTCCAGTACAATCTGTTTTGGCGACATGTTCACTCAAATGATGAGTGGCACTGCCCAGTACCGCCTTTATGGTGGTATGCTTACTCACAGAACGAGTGGCACTGCCCAAGGATGACTGACACTGTTTAATAATGTCTTTTGACGGTATGTTCACTCAACTGATGAGTGGCACTTTATTATGTTATGCTCACTTACAATCGCCCATCAAGGCAAAATCTAAAAATATCTATGGTATGTCGAGGGTGGAATCCTGGGCTTAGGACGGAAACGAGACGGTGTGGGTGGGGCCGCGGGGGTTGTATCCATGGCCTGGGGAGGATGTGGGTGGGTGGGGGTTAGTAGGGTGGAAACCAAGGCTTGGGCAGGAAGTGGGAGGGCATTGGGTTATTGGGGGGAGAGGGCATTCCCTGGTGCAAGGATGAAGGAGAGAAAGGGAGGAGGGGGGCGGAAGAGTGGACCAGGGGTGAAGGAGGGTATTGGTGGGACGGTAACCATGGTATCCTCGACTTGGAAGCAGACTCCGCGAATCAGTTGTTCCTCGCACCCCATTAAACGTCCACGCTTGTCGCATCCGGGAGATATTCCCCTATTTTGGTGGCTTTAATTGGCTCAGTGAGGGGTTGTCGTCGTCTTTTACCCCGAAGGCTAAGCCTAACAGGCTCAGAAACTTGCAGTAAGCGCTTTAAAAATTGGGAAGATCACGGGAAAATCTGAAAAATATATAGAAAACGGTTGAGCAGTAGTACAGCCTAGAGACGGCGGCAGTATGGCGGCGCAGCCGTCAGTTGCCATGTTCTATGTTCCTAACACAAAATCCCCAAGAATTTTTAAATATATCTCTTAGATTCCTACAATTTCATCTAGGATGCAGTGTTTCATACACAGATTCATATGAGATATTTTCAATTACTCTAGAAAACGCGTGTGATTGATAATTTTCATCTTAACATTATTTGCTCCAGTCACTTGACATTTGGAGCATCCACTCCGCTGTTAATATCTTGCAAATTACAATTAATAAGGATCCGCTTGTGTGAAAGCAGCGTGCTGAGGAGTCTGTCGTTCCATGGAGGAGAGTGAGAACCATGGCCAACACTGAAGTTTCTCTCACTCGCTAGCAACAGTAAGTTTAAACGTTTGTTTACTACCTTTAGTTAATTGTGAAAGCGACAGAAATAACTGGTAAGATTTTTTTTTTACACAGGGTTTGACAAGGTTTAAGGATCCCTAGCTTTATTGACAAGCTATTTGCAGGTTAAGGATTCCTAACTCTATTGGCAAGCTAAGAGCTGTTACTTACATCAGCTCATTTGAAAGCATTTTTATTGTTGAGACATACAAGTAGGGAACAGAATGAAGTTGGAGGTTTCTGCCCGTCTTGTGGCATAAAAGCTTGTTTCACGCTGTCCTCGAAGTGGATCCAAGTGTGGTACTTTGACAATATTGGCCTTGTACATAACAGTAAGGCCACCCACATCCCTCCTGTGTTGAAGGCTCTGCTGAAATGACAGATCTATCCAGGATGGTCCAGGCGAGAGATGAGACGTCTTGCTCTGTTCTCTACTCGCTCTCTCTCTCTCTCTCTCTCTCTCTCTCTCTCTCTCTCTCTCTCTTACTCTCTCTCTCTCATCTCTACTCTTTCTCTATATATATATATATATATATATATATATATATATATATATATATATATATTATATTACAAATCATTAAAAAAATAGATGAGATTTATCCTGGTACTGTGTCCAAGAAGCCATGTAGTCCAGGATGAATCGCAAAAACTGGAAATGCTTAGCAAGTACGTAGGTATTAATTCAGGTTTACTACACAAATCAAGACTTTTACAGTTGTCTTACAGTGAAATTTGTGTAAATAATTGTAGGATAACCCATTAAAGTCAAAAGCACTGCTACCTATGAAAGTAAAGTAGCTGAAACTAAGCCTGTTTACAAAATTTCTAACTACGGATATTCTGAATATCTTGCTGGGAATTTTTGGAAAGCGAACACAATTTTGTAGTGTCGTAGATGAATGGTTCAGAGAACCGACACGTTGATAAATTAGACACATGTGCAACTCTTGGGTATCTTTATTGAGGAAACGTTTCGCCACACAGTGGCTTCATCAGTCCATACAAAGGAGAATCTTGAAGAACAAGAGGAGAATGAGGTAATCAGTCCTTCAACCTTGAGTCGATGTGGTCAGTCCATCAATCTTGAATAGAATACGGCATATGTGCGGAGAAGTGGCTTATATGCCGTAGGCAGGAGAGGTGCAGCAGTCGTAGGTGGTATCACATTTCTTCAATGTGGAAGTAGGTCGTGCCTAACCCTTGGGCACGACCTACTTCCACACTGAACAAATGTGACACCACCTACGTCTGCTGCACCTCTTCTGCCTACGGCATATAAGCCACTTCTCCGTACATATGCCGTATTCTATTCAAGATTGATGGACTGACCACATCGACTCAAGGTTGAAGGACTGATTACCTCATTCTCTTCCTGTTCTTCAAGATTCTCCTTTGTATGGACTGATGAAGCCACTGTAGTGTCCATAGAAGGTGGCCATGACTTAAATATTATGTATTATATATCAATAAATTTCTGATTATGTATGAGGCCTCAATAAATTTTTTTTTTGTCTACAGCTTAACAATAGCTATAAAAGGTAATGAAGCTACAGAAAGGGAAGAAAATTATTATATATTTTGTTAATGAATTCTAATTATAGCATTGGATTATTCTTCTGGAATTTGTTCTCTAATATTAATAATGTTAGGGTATAATTGATGGCATTTATATATGCCTGATTATGTCAGTTAATAAGGAACCCAGTGGAAATAATATGAAATGTTTGATTTTATTTTCCCCAGGTTAAAACTATATAATGCACTTTTGATGTGTTTATTAAATCAGTGTTTCGTCAAGACCATTGTAAAACATTTTCTGTTTATGTACGCAGAAGCTTACTAAAACTTCTTCCCCCCTCCCCCCACACACGCGCACGCCCGCGTGCGCGGGTGTGTGGGGGGGACAAGGGATAGGGGGCTCATGACAACGACGTATAAAATACTGACAGGAATTAACTAGTTGTACAGGGCCAGAATGTTTCAGAAATGAGATGCGCGAATAAGGGGACACAACTGGCAGTTAAAAACTCAGGTGAGTCATAGGGATGATAGAAAATATTTCTTCAGTCTTAGAGTTGTCAGGAAGTGGAACAATCTGAGAGTGTAGTAGTGGAGGCAGGATCCATACATAGCTTTAAAAAGAGGTACGATATGGCTCTAGGAAAAGGGTGAGAGTGGACCTAGTAGTGACTAGCTAAGAGGCGGGAGCATGCGCTGTGAATCGACCCCTGCAACCACAAATAGGTGAGTATACACACATAGGTGGGGCCAAGAGCTGTGACTCGACCCCTGCAACCACAAATTGAGCGCGCGCGTACACACACACACACACACACACACACACACCACACACACACACACACACACACACACACACACATCAACACTGACCCAACAATTGCCCCGTTAAGTTCCTGTACTCCACTTCAGCAGTTTCCTTCAAGCTAAGTAACAGCCGAACAAAAGTTGGACGATCAAGGTTTAAACCCTTCAAGCTTTGATGCTGACCAAGGGCTCCTGATTAAAGAATTGGATCTACCCTTCCTTCCCTTTGGTCAAATGTAATTACCTCATATATCCTTGCATTGTTTGACCCAGACGGATGGTCACGTGTGCAACACCTGGGTATCATTATTCAGAAGACGTTTCGCCAATCACTGGCTTTATCAATTCAATTCAACACAGTAGATGAGGTAATCAGTCCCTCAAGCTAGGTGTTCACCGCCTTAGTCTCGATGAATCTAAAGCATAGGTAGGACGAGTAGGTTAGATAAGGTTCGTCAGGAAATAGGACAAGTGTTTCCTGACGCGGGTCTTAGATGATGACCCTCCGTTGGAGCTTTTGGTCATCTGACCGAGGCCTTCCGCTGGCTTACCGGTCCACCCCTTCAATAATTATACTCATAGTTATAACCATTTAGTTAAGGGGACGAGTAAAGTAGAATCTGAAGCCAGTGCTTCAGAGTCACCAAGAAGAAGTCACGTTGGCGATAAATCGTCAAACTATAAATACCCAGATATTGTAAAAAGTTCAATTCATCAGTTTGTCGGTATTGTATACCATTTATACTATAATGTCTATAACGATTTAGTGCTTTTATATGGCAATGATAATGCAACATTCCTAAATCACAAACCGATCAGGATAAATCTGTGATATTTTCCTACTGGCGACACGTACTCTTGTGAAGAAATTTATTAAAATTATCGGCAACCACTAACCTAAGGTAACGTTATTAATGTTGTTAGACAACTTATGGTTACACAAGTCACCGCCGGACGTCGCCAGCATCTGAAAACTTGATGACTACCGGATGCATAATAATAAGAAAGTAATATACTACTACTAATAATAATATAATTATTATTATATAATTATTATATTATTATTATTATTATTATTATTATTATTATTATTATTATTATTATAGCTAGAAGTTTCAAATATCTACTCAAGCCAAACGTGTCCCTGTGAGTGATTGTGTTCCTGATAATATAAAAGTTGTAATAAAAACGTGATTAATGCGATAGGAAGTATTAGTGACAGCTAAGAATACTAAAAGTAAAGACATCAATATTATTGTACTAATTTTGCCATCAATTTGAGAAATCTGGGTCTCCATGGGAAACTTTGTCTCAATAAAGGCTCCATCCTGCCATAGTGTATTGTTTAATAGCTTTTCTTCTACAACCTCTATTTCTATTAAAATTATAATTACCGTTGTAATTTTTTTTATTTTCATTCTTTATTATAAGTATATCTGTATTTTTATAATTTAGTTATTTTATTATTTTTAATATCGCGATGTTGCTTTAACAGCGACTGACTACTTGAGGGAGGGATGTATGATCCTAGTAGGTTTAGCGCTTTCTTTTGATAATAATAATAATAATTGAGGGGGAGGGGAATGTTTCCAGTAATCTGTTATACAACCTTGAGAACTAAGAACAAAAAATATACTGATGAAAGGTACACTTGCAGTCACTAGTTCACTGCAGGTTAATCTAAGCCTCTAACTTGATCCTTCACCACCTCCAGTCAGTATAGCAACTGAGTGTTACGTAAGTTTATTTAGGTATATCTAAGCACAGTTACATTAATTTAGGTGGCGACAATTATCATAGTAACATATGCAAAATAACCACTGTGATAAAAATGCTGAATTTCAGGCGATTTCGTAATTTATCACATTATTAACTGATTATGTGAGAAATCACGAAAGCACTTGGAAACTCACTAATTTTTTCACAGTGGTTAATTTGCATATTGTGATACTACATGTTTACTCTGATCTTATTTCATGGTAAAATATGTGTAAATTGCTCAGGATAACCCCCAAAAAAAGTCAGATGAAGTGACTTTGGCCTCACTCCATAGAGGGTGAGCGTCACCTCCTTCCCTAAGGTAGAAGGAACAAGACACCCCTTACCTGGAGGTTACCTGGTTACCTGGAGGTTATTCCGGGGATCAACGCCCCCGCGGCCCGGTCCATGACCAGGCCTCCCGATGGATCAGGGCCTGATCAACTAGGCTGTTACTGCTGGCCGCACGCAGTCCGACGTACGAGCCACAGCCCGGCTGATCCGGCACTGACTTTAGGTATCTGTCCAGCTCTCTCTTGAAGGCAGCCAGGGGTTTATTGACAATTCCCCTAATGCTTGATGGGAGGCTGTTGAACAGTTTTGGGCCCCGGACACTTATGGTGTTTTCTCTTAGTGTACCAATGGCGCCCCTACTTTTTATTGGCGGCATTTTGCATCGCCTGCCCAGTCTTTTACTTTCGTAGGGAGTGATTTCTGTGTGCAGATTTGGGACCCTTGTATTACCCTTCTACCCCTTCACGTGGGAAGATTTCGCTAGTGCACCATCACATATCCTCATCTCCACTCGATAAAATAGTTATGAGACAGCACAATTTTCCTGAAGCCTTATTTTTTTTTTTTATCCCTTAACTCTAGAAGGAGTTTCTAAGCATGCGGAAGGTATGTTA